AGTATCATATTTTCCCAATTTAGCTGAGGAAGGAATGAATCTCCTGCCCCAAACTGTCACTTGGTCTCAAATAAAAGCCTGGTCTGTTAAGTGATTAAAACAAATAAACGCTCCAGATATTATTTGGTATTTTACAGTTCTTCTTATTCTGTTAAACACTTTGAATGACTTTGTTGTTCTCTCCACGTCCTGGTGCATTTGAAAGAAAACTGAAATCTGAACTTTACACTAATCCCAACAAATCCCCGGCGTTTCAGAACATGTTTATACAGCTCTACACTACAGGGAGGGCATCTGACAGAGTTTGTTTTCAGACCTGAGTCCATCGCAGACGCTCAGAGCCACAGAGGAGCCGTCCATCCCGTCCACGACTCCGCTGTAGTGACAGTGATCCTGAACAAACACAAAAACACACAAACGTTGGAACAGAAATGACACAAAAACTAAAATCTGTGACATCTGCTTTTTTAAATCTTAGGTCTCATCTTCAATTTTTTCAAATATTAGAAAAAAGGTTTCAGAAGAAGTGCTTCCCGGACCTCCAGAGGATCATACACAGTAGATCCAACTCAGTGTTGCTCTTCTGAAGGGAAGTCAGTAAAAAGATGCAAAAAAAAAACCCCAAGGCACTCACTGGTTAAAATAAAATGCCTTTATTAATTTATGGCAAGTCTTAATGAAAGAACCTACCAAAGTCCCGACGCGTTTCAGCTTTGGTTTTCCTCAGGGGACAAACAGAATCGAGAGCAAATCATGTGAAATTAAACAAGAAACCACCAACAGGACTGTTCGTTTTCACCTGGAAGAGGAGGAGAGACTCACCTGTGACACCACCTGACAAACACCACAAGAGGGCGAGTTTTTTTTTTTAGGATTTTTAAGACTTTGAGGCTCCCTGACTAATAAACCTCATAATTATTATTATTATTATTATTATTATTATTATTAATTATTATTATATGTAGAATATTCAGAACTATTAATCTAGAATTCAAATACATCCTGTAAACGTGGGCAGTGTCACTTCCACTCGAGTCTGTGGTGTGATTATTTAAACTCTGTACAGACTCATGACCCTGACTCATCATCATCATCACAGAGACAGGAAACTGAAGGTCAGAGGTCACGGAACAGGAAGTACCAGAGCACTCCCATCACACGACAATCCGAAAGACACAGCCACAAATGTACAAATGTTTGGTTTTTTTTTCCCCTTAAATCTGCAGATTCACTGGAGACGTTTGATCTGGAGGAGCGAGGGCGTCTGACGAGGGCCGGAAGACGCCGATATGATACAGACGTCGATACAGTTGAGCTTTAGATTTGATACGATGCAATAAAAATCAAGTCTAAATCAAGTCTTTGTTAAATCACTTCTTCTTGTGTAAAGTTCATATGAAACAAAAACATTTAAATCCTCAAAACAGTGAAAATGTCAAATGTGTCGCATAAAAGAGTTTCCTTCCACTGAACAAACAACAAAAACAGGAGTCACCAAACTTTTTTTCTCCTGAGTCCAGAGAGTCCAGCGGCTTTGAGGAGGAACAAACAACTACTCGCCACAAACCGACTGATTCAGGGAGTTTTTGTTTTTATCAGAGATGCTCCCAAATCACGAGACCAACGAAAAAGTTCCCTATTACAGAACTCTGCTCGTGCGACCGTCTGATCTCCAGTTTGTCACGTGACGAAAATTCGATGGCAAACGTAAATATGTCATAGAATTATATAAATATAAATACATATGAATATTGTTTTGCAATTGAAAAAAAATCTACAAAATACAAAATGCAGACGTGTTATTATTTGTCAAAAACTAATAAAAAAAAATTAAAAAAAGACCATGACAGTTTTAAGGATTAAGGGGCTCGGGGCCGGTTTAGTTTGATGACCCCTGAACAAAACTGTAGCTGTAACAAAATAATTTAGTAAAATGTACAAAAAATACTCTTGGTGACGTATCGATACAGCAGCTCATGATGCCGTTGTTGATGCACTTATGTTATACTGCCAAGATATAACAGTGACTCTTGTCTGCACTTGTAAATACTTCATAGAGTTTAATTCAAAATGTTTGAAAAACGCAAAATAAGATCATTGTGTTAGATTATGAAGAGTAGGAGAGGGATTAAATAAGTTTTCTTCTTTCCACTCCTTTTTGGGCAAAATAGTAATAATAACAGTTATTAGTAGTTGTTGTTATTTTCATTTCTGTTGTGATTTCACTTGTGTCATATGTTCCATTGTACGTGGATGTGGATCTTTACTTGCCCAAAATAAATGCATTAAACTAAACTAAACTAAAACTAATGATATCGATACTGGATCATCACATTAAACAATATGATATATTGATATTTAGATATTTTTAAGCAAAAGATGTTCATTTTGTCTTCTTATATACTTTAACTTCTTGGGTTCTTGCAGTAGTGTGTTTAACTTGTTGACATGTTTCGGCTGCATCTTCAGAACTGTTCTCGGTGTTGGTGGTGACGTGTCGTATATCAGATGTTGTTACTTCCTGTGGGTGTGGTCAGACCTGATGGACCTGCAGGTCGCTCAGACTGACCACGCCTCCCGTCGCCCGGTGTCTCTGGAGGAGGGTGTCCCAGGTGTGTGAAAGGAGGAAGGCTCCGTCATCACGGTTAATGCTCCGTGCCTCGTTTCCTGATTTCACCGTCCTCCTTTGATCCAGTGTTTGAACTTGTTGTTGTTTTCCAATGACCCGAGCCTCGTCCTGATC